ATTACCCCCTCCCACACACTATCACCCCTCTGTCCCACACAGTATCACACCACTGTCCCTCACAGTATCACCCCCTCCCTCACCAGATCACCCCCTCCACACACACAAACTGTCACCACCTCACACATACAGTATTATCCCCTTCACACACAGTCACTCTCCCTTATACACACTGTCACCACCTACAATGTAGTGTCACCATACTCTCACACACTGTCACCCTCCCCTCACACTGTCACATTCCCACACATTGTCACACTTCCCCACACTGTCACCCCCTCCACATTTTCAGCCCTTTCGCGCATCCACACTCTCATTAACCACTCCTAATCCTGTTACTCTCACCCCCTCCAAACTCACCTGCCCTTGCTCTGCCACACTCACCTTCTCACATTAACTCCCTTAATCCTGTCACACTCCTTCCTCCAACCATGCCACATTCACCCTTCACCCCAAAACTGTGCTACTCACCCCACCCCAACTATGCCACACTTACCCTGTCACTTAAATTTTTGTTTTCGAGAACCACTTCACACCAGTACTTATTTATACACGACTGCCGGGCTATGCAACCATAACCCACAATTGTGTATAAACGATTGGCATAATTGCAAATTAAATTTATTTATTGCAAATTAATTTTGTAACATTGCAAGCTTCTGAACAATGAATGCAGAGACTGACTCTCTGTATCTAGCGCTGCAAGCCCACCTTTCGATATAGCGAAGGCTCCTTACAAACACACAAAATACAACCCTATTATTTTATACTTTGGACGTTAGTGGGGCCTCATGCTTAAAGTTCGCCTTAGGCCTCATAAAGTCTAGAGCCGCCTCTGCTCACACACATACTGACTCACACAAATACTGACACACACATGCAAAGTTTACATCTATAAAGCCACCCTCTAGCCCTACCTTATGGGTTCAGGAGGGTGGTTCCCCGGGGTTTAGTGGCTGGCTGAGGTAGTTGGGAGTGTGAGGCTCTGGCACTCCAGCTCCCTCCTGACGGCCTCCTCCTCTTTCCTCCCGCGCAGCTTCATTCTATCTGGGAGGAAGTGACTCACGGCAGTCACTTCCTTCCAGCCTACTGCAGTAAAACAAGGGGGCCCTGTCGTGCTGTTAAAGGGCCATAGCGCTGACTGGGCCCTCTTAGTGTGCAGCCGCAGCACCGGTGGGCCCATGGGGCAAATAACATTTTTTTTGCGGACAGCGGGGCCCACGGGGTAGCTGCCTTGGGCCCCCCAGGAGTAAATGGGCCTGGTGCAGGTGCCCCGTTTGCCCCGCTTTAAAGACGGCATGACTGTAACCCTCTCTCTCCCTGCCCCCCACTGTAACCGTCTCTCTCTCCCTGCTACCCCCACTGTAACCCTTTCTCCCCCTGCCCCCCCACTGTAACCCTTTCTCTCCCTGCCCCCTCCCACTGTAGCCCTTTCTCCCCCTGCCCCCCCACTGTAGTACTTTCTCCTCTTGCCCCTCCACTGTAACCATTTTTCTCCTTGCCACCCCATTGTAACACTCTGTCTCCTTGCCCCCTCACTGTAATCCTCTTTCTCCTTGCCCCCCACTCTAACTGTGAATGTCAAAATACTGTTGGATTTTACTGCAATAAAATACACATATTTGTATTCAGCAATGTCTCACAAGTACCACAGTACCCCCTTGTATAGGGTTTATGAGTTTTTGGAAACTTACAGAGGTCAAATATAGGGCTTTCTCCTTTTCAATTGAAATTTGCCAGATTGGTTTGCTGGGCCTATGTTGCCTTTGAGACTGTATGGTAGCCTAGGAATGAAAATTAATCCCATCTTGGCATACCATTTGTAAAAGTAGACAACCCAGGGTATTCAAAATGGGATATGCCCACTGTTTTTAGTAACCATTTAGTCATAAACGCTGGCCAAAGTTAGAGTTCATATTTGTTATTTTGGATCTTTTTACACAAAAACTGCACTTATATATATATATATATATATATATATAGAGAGAGAGAGAGAGAGAGAATTTTACCCTAAGTGTATTTTGATGACAATATATATATATATATATATATATATATTAATATCAAAATACTTTTAGAATGAAATTGCATATATATATATATGTATAAATTAAAAGGTCATTAGGCCTGACTTTGTGGAAGGAGTTATGGCACCTACTTAAACTCCTAGCCCCTACTCACCTCTGCCGTTCAAGCTGATTGACTCCTTAGCAACCAGCACTTCCGGTCCGTTTTCCCGCCAAACACCTCCAGTTTTCCAGCAGGAGTTGCAAGCAATATCCTCTGCCTCCGACCTCCGGTCCTGCCACCCGGCTTCTCCCCGGTCACGGTACCTGGCTTCCAGTCATGAGACCGGCACGTCCACGTAAGCATAACGTGGGAAATGGCGTTCGGCTATTTCTCACGTTTGGGCCTAAAAATGTAGGCGTGGGCTCCCTTTTACTAATAAAGTACCTATTCATGCATACTTACCCGTTCGTGCACTTCTGTGGTTCATGCGGCTAAACAGTCGACGGCAGGTGTATACTTACATTCGTTCAGTCATTTGTGTGGTTAAACAACCGACCGCAGACACTATGTATGCATACAGTTCTTATGATTTGTGTATTTTTAGTTAAATGCCAGCCTGTCTCACTGTTTAGAACCCTTTTTCGTGCACTAAGTTAACCTATTATACCGTTTGTTCATACGAACGAACTGATCACTGTATCTAATATACTTCCTTTTTTCATTTCTTTTGTGTGGTCAAACAGCCAACCGCAGTCACGATTATACATGCAGTTCTTACATGCCATGTAAATTTTGCCGAACGCCAGCCTGTTTCCCTGCTTATAAACCCCTTATCTTGTATTACATTGTTCCTGTTATACCATTCGTTCATACAAACGAACAAAGCACTACATATTATAATCATTCACTTATTTACTGCCTGTTATAAATTCATATGGGTTTTGGGGTCCTCATTTTTCATTTCACTTGTTAAGTTAAAATTGTGGTACACAGGTTAAGATTAATCTTCCTTTCTTTTTGACTGCATGATTAGCCTTTCATTTAAATGACGGTTTGACTCCTACAAGGTCACACATTTGTTACTTCAGTACTATGCCCATGCAACAATTTTTCACGTCTATCTCCCAAATTCAACCACCACGGTTCATTTTACGTCAGGCACAGTTCTTACCAAAGGCACGATCACTCACTCACTGTTTCTTTCAGCCTTATACTTGTTAAAGTACTTAGTTCTATGTTATGATTCTAGGCTCCTCAGCTTTTCCTTCAAGTAAAACTTCAGGAAGTGTCAACCCGGTATCCTGTCCTGCAGTATCAGGTATAGTGATTTACTCATTACAGCTATCTTGTCCCGAGGCCTCATTCAGCCTCCACGGGAAAACCCCCACCTGCCCCTCCAGGTGGGTTTTCAAACTACGGCATGGGTCACATTGAGACCCCTCACTACGATCTCACCCATAATTGCCTTCTGTGACGAAGTGCCCTTCGCCACTTGGTCCTGGAGAGGCCTACTTGCCAGCCTCCTCCCCTGTGACTATGACTCTTTCATGTATCTGGCTTTAAAGCCCCTAGTCTACCTTCAGAAAGACTATTTATGTAGGCTGCTTTATTTATCTTATGTTTTAGTCACCCTGTACCCATTATAGGTGCAGGGTGTGTGTAATGTAATTGTTTATAGTGTGTGTGTGTGTACTGTGTAATGTATTGCCTGCTCTCTTGTATTGCTGAGGTTTGCTACCAACTAGGTGGGTTTGGCTATGGAGCTTGTCTAGTGCCCTCTGTTGGTAGCAACAGCAATATGCACTACCTGAATTGCAAGACTGGTTCATTTGCATATTCGGGTAGATTTGCATATTGCTAATTCTGCAGGCAGGTGAGATATTTACTGTTAAATATTGTCTCCCCCCACCCCTTTAAAAATGTGCCATTGTGTTGTGATAAGTCACTGTGTGTTGCTTAATATGGTTTGACTGTTTGTGATTTTATTGAGGTTTCACAACAATGTTATTGTGGTGACCCTATTGGCTGGTCCCAAGGGAAATAAAGGTTTTGACAGTTCTTCTTGATCCCTCTAAACGTAGCCTTGTCTCGTTATTGGAGGGAGCTGTT